CCCCCCCCCCCCGCCCCCCGCCGCCCCCCCGCTCCCGGCCGGGTCTAAGGGCGCCCGCTCGCCGATGGGGAGGTGGGGAAGAGGGAGGCAAAACCTGGGGAGGATTCCCGGGCGGGAGAGGGTTGGACTCGCTGGAAAAAGATTTAACCGGTTTGCGAGCAGCAGCACGGGTAGGGAGGAGGAGATTTGGGAGCAGGAAAAGCTCCTGGATGAAAACTCACCCCTCTCTGTGCTGGGTGGTCTCTCTCTGATAAGGTTTATTTATTTTGCCGTTTGCCAAGTGAGGCTTTGATCTCCCTGTAATTTTTCAGCATCTCTGGGGATAGTCTTGGCTAGGAGCATCAAAGAAGCAGGGGGGGAGTCCCAAAGATACCCACCTCCTTTATGTTTCCTGAAGCCGAGCAGCTGCGTGGGAAAAAGGAACAATAAATGTCCCAGCCTGTGCCCAGTGGAGTCCACTTCATCACTGGCAGAGCATGGGTGTACCTGTGCTTTGCCAAGTGCTGCAGCTTCCAACGTAGAAATCTGGCATCCCTGCTCAGCCAAAGGAGTGCTTGCTATGCCCTTGCACTCAGTTTTAAGGGAAACTCCAAAATAATTTCTTTGTCACCAGTCCCACATAGGGTCTGTCCTTAAAAAACCTTCACCGCTTGCAAAAGTTCATGAGCAAATATTTCAGGCTATCCAGTTTAGACGCTGCCCATAGGATTGTGGAAAACCTGTTGGGAAGGATTTGGGATGTCTTCTCTCTCCCCCTGCCTCCCAGCAGGATAAGCTGTGCCTAAGCCACCCCTGGGCAGATGCTGAGCTAGAAAATGTGATGGAGAGTTACATGCCTCCAGACCTGATTTTCCTGGCGCTATTGCTCAGGCTACTGGCTTTACTTCAAACTTCAGGCCATCAGGGCTACTTTAGCAGCACCTGAGTGGCTTGCACCAGAGCCTGGCTCCCCCAGAGGGAAACGCTGTGCTGTACGTACACAGCATCCTGGGGGTCTTTGCTGAAGGGTGTTGAAGCCTTGGAAATATCCAGCCCTCACTGAACTTGTGGCCTATGGCTTCTTGCTCTGTATCTGAGGATGAGCAGCTCCCTGTTATCTGGGTCAAGGAAATTACATGCAAGAACAGTCTTTTTGCCCCACTGGTTTTTTTTTTTCTTTTCCTCTTTTTTCTTCACCCCCCCCCCCCCT